TACATGTATTCAACCCCACTTATGCCTTCTACTACCCCATTGGAAGCCTCGGGACGCTACATACATATTTTTAGTATTATTTATGTCTCCTTATACACAATGCGGAGTTCTGCAACGTTATATGTTTGTTCTGTTCGCTTTGGATTTCATGTATCCAGACTCACTTCCTGTTTACTTCCTCCCTGGGAAGTCTCGGGACTCTACAATGCTCTCTCGAATCAGCCTATGGAAATACTCTCAGACATAATTTTTTAGCTGTGGCAGATTTCCTTTTTTGGAACGTTTTTTTACTCTAAACTTTTCTTTGACTTTCTTATTTCGTTCTGTTGTGTGATGAAATTTTTATCTAAACTTAAGGCACCAGTTAAAAAATTTAAAAATTTTAAATTTTGTCATTTTACAAATCTGTAACAGTATCAACAGGTTACGTAGAAGACCAAATTTTTAAATGATTCTTTGATCGTGCATGTGCCTTGAGGCGCTTAGTCATTCTTTCTGGTCTCCGCGGCGGTTTACTGTTGGGTATGGCTGATTTACCCGAGAAGGACCTCCAAGGTAACTTTCACAGTTTGCCTTTACTGTCTTATAGATGCTAGGGAGTTATTTGCACTCTATTCCACTGGTGAAGACGAGAAGATTGAGGCTCGCTACATTGGTGATCTAGTTCGGGCCCTTGGTTTGGTGCCAACCGAGGCTCAAATCGCGAAATTTGGCTATAAGGATAAGCCTGGTAATCATTAATCCTTTACATACATTTGTGTCCAAGTTGTTGCGATCTATGCGAGTTGACGAATTATGAATTCCTTACTCATTGGGTGTTTGGGCAATCTGATCTTGATTTGGTCGTACACGTTCAGAGCTTTTCATGAGCTACTGGAATAGTCGTTAACACTTGGGTGGTATATTAAGCGCGAAAAGTACCAGCTATTTCAGGTGTTGCGTAACTGTGTATAGTCTTACGCAACTGTTCGATTCTGTACTGGGTACTATTAGTCCAACATTCCTTTCCTTGATCCTTTAGCTGAACGAATAAGTTTCGAGACCTTTTTGCCAATCTTCCAAGGTTTAATGAAAGAAAAGAGGCCAAACAATCAAGAGGAATTCATCGAAGGTTTTAAAGTTTTCGATAAGGAGTCAAATGGCTTAATCAGCGCTGCCGAATTACGGCACCTACTTACTCAACTGGGCGAACGCCTCACGGAGAAAGAGGTGGACGCGCTATTGGTTGGTATGGAGGATGGACAAGGTCAAGTCCCCTACGAAGGTTAGCTTTTTCACGACGTGTACGCCTCTCCACGCATCCTCGTTTCATCTCAGTGCTGCACAGTATCCGCTAGTACGCACTGCACCGCATGAACACAGGTCCGGAACTTTCTTTTGCTTAAAAGTTGTTCAAAGGCCTTGGGTTATGGTAATCCCCGCCCCACATTGTTAATGATGACTTACTCAACTGTTCAGTAACCTTTTCTCACCTGATAACTTAGGTATCTTTTTTGGTTTTAGCCTTCGTTCGTCGGATTATGGGTTGAGTCAGCTCCTGACGCTGAACTAATCATTTGATCTACTGTTTACTCAAGCAATTTGGCGCAATAAATCCCATTGTTCTGTTTCGCTTTTACGACTCATCACCAAGCGTCCTTCCGAAAACACCACCGCATTAACCTCAGCAATTTCTTCAGCACTTGACAAGAATGAGTAGAAACGAGCTTTGTATTACAAATGGTTACGAAGATTTGTGTCTGTCAGGTTGAGTCTTCGCCCACCTCGGTACCAGCAGCCAACCGCCAAGGTGGGATAGGATGACGCTGGCTAATCCAATGGACATAGCGATCACGTAATGGCTGATACTCTCTCCAATGTCCAGCCAAGAGCCCTCATCTTTCAGCATAGCGAAGAAGTGCACAGCGAGGAAATTGGAAATTATCATGAGGAATGTAGTTTCCGCCTGATGTGCATCGTGAAACAGAGGTGAGACCGTGGCACTTCCCGAACTCTCTCTGACTCGACCTACCAAGCTGTACGCAATTCCGACCAGCACGATTGGACAGAGAATCTGAAGGTACGCATCATCAAAAGACAAGTGTAATGCGCTACCTTAAAAATGAGTAGGGCACCCATTGCTGCGGGATTGAGGACTGTCATGAAGCAGTACACCGATATTGGGTCAAACCTATTGTTTAAAGGTTCAGTGAAAGCGGTGAAATATGAACTTACGTATTGACGCTGGCGATGTTTCCAGTACCAAAAAACGAGTATATAACGAAAAATGTCTGAAGAATTAAGGAACATTTTGGGTGGATTTCGTAAAAAAACATTGTCAACACGCATAAGGGTTACTTAGTTAGTAGGGGTAGCAAAAGGATACATAAAAGAATGGTCGACGAAGGCTTGATAAATTTAAGTGGAACAGGCCGCCATCATTGATCGGTTTTCCTCGCACTCCGACTGCTAATTCAAGACAGCAGAACTAAAAGAAAAAAACAAAGGATTGACACTGGAGCAATATGAAGTGAAATTGGGAGAAATATGCAGTGTGAGCAAACCTCATGAAACTCCAAACCCGATTCGAACCAGGTCCATGTGAACACTACCGTTGCAAGTGTGAGAAAGAAGAAACCCTCGTAGCTGATGTGGGTGTTAGGGAGGCTCCAGTAGAGAAAATAACAGACTTGGAGACAAAGACCTCCAATTTAGATGAAAAGGTTAAAACAACACGAATATGGTGCATAAGGCAAGGATACAATACATTCATAAGACTGAAAGGGATGAAGAAGGCGAGTGCCAGACCAACCAGCCTTTCACAGAGGATAGAATTGTCGTTGAGTAAGGCAAGCAACGGCGAAATAACTAAAATGGAGGGGCTGTGTCATGAAGTTGCGCACTTCGTGTAGAAAACAGTTTCAAAGTGTGGGTGGCTGTGCATATCGAGATTTTGCTTTCTAAAATGATGTAATCTCGAAGTGACATCAAAGAGTTGTGAGCGACTTTGGAGTACAAACGTTGTGAGGCAACCATTTCGAAGGTCTCTTCACATAACCGTTAAACAAGTGGGCAAAACCAGCACTAAAAAAAGCAGGTCTACGGAGCATTACACCAGCTGTGTTCATAGTTAAATAATATTCATCAAGTATCAATAGTAGTATACTGCAGAGGATGGGATAAAATTGGTAAAATGCCAATAAGTTCGCCTGTGTAACGGTTTATAAAAAAAAAGAACTCACTTAAGAGAAGCCAGGATATGATATGAACAAGGATCGGGATCGAGATCGACCACGACACCAAAATTCGGACAAAGAAGACTAACGATCCACTAACAAGCGAGCCTACTATCTGCAGTTAGCGGACATAAT